TGTTTTTGATCGTCTGACATTCCCCTTCACGAGCCCTGAAAAATAAGTAACTATCATCTGCAAAAAAGAGGTGTGAAACTCTCGGTGCACGTCTAGCCACTGCTATGCCCAAAACATTACCCATACCCTTCTGTGTTCGAGTAAGTGCACTTAAACCCTCCACTATCAAAATGAATAGATATGGTGATAGCGGATCACCTTGTCTAAGCCCTCTGGACGGGGTTATGGGTCCTATCATCTCGCCGTCAAAAGGAACATAATTAAGTTGATCCATTTTGGATCAAAATTCATACCCTGCATGATTCGTTTCAGGTAACTCCATTCGACACGATCGTAAGCTTTGCTCATATCGAGCTTAAGGGCTACCAGACCCTCTTTTCCATGTCACTTTTGCTTCAAATGGTGAATTGTTTCAAATGCTACCATCACATTATTATTAAAAATTCTAGCGGCCCGGAATAAAAGCACTTTGATTAGCAGAGATAAGGCCATTAAGAAGGCCTTTTAATCTATTAGCTAGCACTTAAGTAAAGATTTTTATTATCACATTGCAAAGGGAGATCGGCCTCCAATCCTCAACCCTCAATTAAATATGAAAGAATGACACAAATAGTATTGTTAACTTTTTAATCAACAAATATAAAATCTAATTTTAAATTGGACAAAGAAAGACTAGACTTGAAACATCAGACCTAAATACCCTTCCACCAACTCCTCTCACCTTCCGTCTCCACTAGTCCACCCTCCGCTTCCGACTCATCTTCCGCTGTAGCTTACCTCAACCCAAGGTGTCTTCAGTCACCACCATCGTTAGCATCTCGTCATCTCCATCACCGCCATCATCGTAGACCAAGCTCATCGTTTTGCCACCATCTCCATCGACCATGGTTGTCAATCTTGTTCTCCTTCGTCAATCGTCGATTCATGTTCAGATCCAGGATGGCGTGGCCGCACGGTGGCGGCGATGGATAGCTGACGTCGGCAATCCGGCGAGGGTTTTGGTTACGCTAGGTGATACCAAAATTTGTTCTTGACGGTTAGGGGTTGCAGTGTAGGTTGATGATTGCGCCCAGGGGTTGGGTGATGGGTATGGTTACAGGGGGTGATGCAGGGATGAGAGGACTATGTGACAACACTTTGTCGTAGTGTGCCTCGAAATAAATATTCAACACAACAATTATATGTAGTATAATGAAGTAAGGTTCTCTTTTAATTAACTAGTAACAAAGGGGTTTTGTATTATTTTTTAACTTTAAGAATATGTAAACACTAAGATGAATGACTTATGTGGTTTAATTAATTAGAGATGAGACTTTGTTTTGCTTATATCCACTTAATGAAATGTTAGTCGATTCTGGTTATATCTTTAACTATCTTCCTCTCGAAAACTCAATCGAGGAGTATATCCATTTCATCGAGGGTAGTTATTAATAACGAGAAGCGTTCATTAATAAAACTTACCACCGAGTCAACATAGAACACGCGACATATATTGACCCGATAATAGCAATAAAACTTAAGATGAAAAACGGTTGAGATTGATAACCTCAAGTCCTCAACACAAGCGGTTTTTCGGTTTAATCAATATACGTAGTAATTAATTTCCCTTAGATTATTAACCATGAGACGCATGCATTAATAATCCAAGTTTACTACCATGAAAGGACCGAACGACTAACAAACGTATTCGTCGATCGATTCTAGTAATAATTAATATATGAAACAAAACTAGTTGATCCTTTAAGTAATGCTCAAAATATTAATATGAAATATGAATGGAATTAATTAATATTCAAGGAAGATGATTAAAGAAAATAACTCACAACTTACAAATCATTAAGCTTTAACGTAGCAAAATCAAGATGGAAGGATTTAGCTCCGCATTTAGAGACTAAACATGCTAAAAATATAAAGAAAGTTCTTAACTAGCTCCTCATTTAAAAGGGGTGTATTTATAGGTAAAATGGAGGTGGTAGGATCGTGTACCCGATCGGGTATATAGGGTACCCAATCGGGTACCTTCAGAAGCTTCCCGGAAGTTGTAAAATGTAGTCATACCCGATTGGGTGAGTCGGTGTACCCGATCGGGTATGAGTATGACAATAGATCATGGTCAAATATTGCCCCGCATGTTCGCTTGTTTTCTGGATTTGATCCGATTCGCAAATCAAGTAGGTACCCGAGAGGGTATAAGGTATACCCGACCGGGTACAACCCAAAATCGAGATATTCTCTTTTTGTCTTGTATTTTTGCACCTTCCTTACTCTTTTGGGGTTCATCAATGGTCCCTTGATTGACATAGACCTGTTTTAGCTCAGAAAAACTCTAATCTAAACAAATTACAATTATTTAAATAGACTAAAGTATTACACCAAAACTGTGTAATTTCCAAAATAACAAACTACAAAACTAATTAAAAATGCAAACATAACAATGGAAATTACATGAATGTCACTATGGTAGGGAAGTGACAGGCTAGTGAGGGCGGTGAAGGGGGGGCAGGTTGGTCGAAGCATGGGTGGTGGCAATGGGAAGGTAGGTGGAGGGGCAATGTTGGACGGAGCAGGGGCTGCGGCATCACTTGGTGTAAATGGTTGTGTAATTAAGTCACTAGGCTGGTAACTGCAAGTGACGGTGGTAGTGGTCACTTTGACCGGCGTAGTCCCTATGGCCGGCTGTGGTTTACTAGGCCGGCGGTGGTCACTAGCGACACGGTCACTATAATAGGGTTACTGTGGCCGGAGTGACTATGACAATGTTCCGGAGTCTCTGATATTATTAGTGTAAGTTGTGTAGTGTTACTCACTTTAGCTGGACACAACTGTGCTTAGTAAGGATGTAATAGGAAACTCTCACAACCTTCTTTTAGTTTTTTTTTTGGAATTCTTTAAAACAAGTTTCGTATTTATCCTTAACCTCTCCATTAATATTATTTTTGTCATAACGCCAATAAATGTTCTAAAATTGAATGATGGCATATACATATTTTGGAGCTAAACATTAATTTGGGGATTTTTCGTACTCCCTCCGTCCCAATTTGATGATCCCGTATTTCATTTCTGGGCCGTCCCAAATTGATAGTCTCATTTCCTTTTTTGAAAAGAAATATGTGGTCCACATCATTTCATCTTTTTATACTCAAATCTCAACCACAACTTTTACTTTTTCAATCACTTTCTTAATCTTTGAGCCCAAAAGAAATGGGATCATCAAATTGGGACGGAAGGAGTATTTCTTATCCCTATTTTATTATTGGGAAAACTGTCAAATAGGTCCTCGAACTTTCATAAAAAAGGTGGGACTCACGTTATTTCCTCTCCTAGCAACCTCACCCCTAAAGATTGTCTTTTATGCAACATGGGCAAACATGCTATTCATTATGCGCTGTTGGGAATATTTATTTAACGGAAGATGTTCTACGAAGTAATTTATATTTTAATCATTTTCATTCGACTATATTTATATGTACTGCAAAAATATCAAAATAAATTAAAGTAAGAATATCTTTTTGCTAGTAAATAAGTACACTCCACGATCACATACTACTTTCAATTTTCTATCTTCCAACATTTATCAAATGAACTTTGTATCACATACTACTCTCAATTTTCTATCTTCCAACATTTATCAAATGAATTTTGTTTCGTATTCACGTCCGATTTAGGTAGTTGTCTGTGTGCAGAAAATTATATTTGAGTCTTAGAGTATGGAGAAGTGTCTATGGAGGAGTGTATGTGATTCCAATAACTTATTCCATTCGTCCCATTAATATTGTCCCATCTTTTCAGTTTGTCTCACTAAAATTGTTTCATATCAAATTTAGTAGAATTTGTATGGATTTAAATTATTCCTACTTTATCAATACAATATCAATCACATATACCACTTTTTATTGATTTGCATGTACTCTCTATTGTCCTTAGTGTCACTGAGGGAGTATATTATATTGAGCTATGCTTAGTGTACCCCATTTTGGGGTACCCGATTTTGTAGCCCACCTTTTGTGTGATTCCCAAAAGTCCAATCATTAAATCAATTGCCCCACTTTAGGGGGCGTTTGGTAGGATGTAAAATACTTACTTTGCATGCGAAATGTAATAATATAAAATGTTTTGTTTGATTATTTAATGTACATTGTAGAGCAATTTTTTAAAACATTTCGGACCGTATCGTGTAAAGTATTTTACTTGGGAGGAGGGTGGTAAAATGCTTTGCATGCCTTGTTATGAAGCACTGCAACGACGTTGCGTGCAATTTAAAAATAAATTACATATCTAGCCAAACAATGTAATATAATCTATTTTACGTGCAAAATGATTGATTCCCGATATTTTGCATGCAATCACTTCAGGTGCAAAGATTTAACGTGTGAATTACACAAGTAAAAGTAAAAATGGGATACCCAAAATGGAGTATCTATACTATTTTTCTAGGATATTTTACTCGCCATGTACTAAAAATATGACTAGTCAAAATTTGCGTGTTGAGACAAAAAAAAAGTCAAGAAAAAGTTTTCCAATTTTTTGGGAGTAATAATCTTTTACAAAAATGATGTTTGTACTCACTCTTATACCCACTTTTGTACCCACCTATGTTTGTGAAGTGTTTTTTTGTCCATGAAAAAAAAAACACTTCACAAACATGGTGGGTACAAGGTGGGTATAAACAAAAAAAGGTATAAACCAGAATAAAATTGGGTCATGAGAATAAAACCCAGCAACTAAACATGCACAAGTACAGAGTATTTAAAGTTGAAAACGCGAAGAAGAAGAAGAAGAAGAAGAAGAAGAAGAAGAAGCCAGGAAAAGGCAAAGAATATGATAAGTTATTCTTCATGTTGATGACTGGAAGTAAAGTAAACTTTCTCCATATTCGTCAACTGTTTTCCTTACAGAGGTAGTTCCTGGTTTACAAAAAGCGAGCATCCATGAAATGAAATTATAGCTTAGTTGCTCCCAGCTTTCTGAAAACTATCATTATTTTCAGCAGCAGCAGCAGCTGTAGTGTAATTTTATCAACATTAAGCCGGTGCTGATCTGAATGGAGGAGTACATTAAAGAGAATTACGGGGAGGTCAAGCCCAATAACTCATCTGTGGAGGCTCTGGAGAGATGGAGAAAGCTCTGCTGGCTCGTTAGGAATCGCAAGCGCAGGTTTCGATTCACTGCCAATCTCTCCAAGCGATTCGATGCTCGCGCTATTCGGCGCTCTAATAAGGTTTCACTCACTCTCAGCTACTCAAATCTCACACAATATACATTTTGTTGCCGACATTTTTCTTTCCTATTCTGTTTTTCTTTTTTGCAAAACATGCCTTCTCTGGACTTCTTTTCTCCGTTGGCTGGATTTCATTTCTGTTTTTTAAACGTCAGAGATGGCTAGAATGAAGATTTCATTCTGTGCAAGGAAATGACATTAAGTTTGTTTATTTATTATTTATGAAGTGAAGATCTGTTTGGAATGAAGTGAATCCATGTGAGTCTGTAGGTAGGTAATAAGTTTTCCATGTTAGTCTCTAGGTTATGCCTGACACTTTATGTATGAAATCTATAGGAGAAGTTGAGACTTGCCATCCTGGTTTCGAAGGCTGCACTTACCTTTGCTCAAGGTATGATTTTCCTGCTCCGTTTTTGGAATTGAATGTAACAGTACTATAGTTCCTAAGTTTGATATTCAATGAATTACTTTCAGGTGCAAGTTACTCTTTACCACAGGACGTCAAAGCTGCAGGTTTTCAGATTTGCCCTGATGAACTAGGCTCTATCCCTAATGGTCTCGATTTGAGTAAGCTGAAATTTCATGGTGGGGTCAATGGCATTGCGGATAAGCTCTCAACATCCATGGAAGATTGGATTTGTACTTCTGATGAGGATTTTCTTGGCAAAAGAAAAGAAATATATGGAATTAATAAGTTTACTGAAAGCCCAGCCAAGGGATTCTGGATATATGTATGGGAAGTACTTCAAGATACAACTCTGATGATACTTGGCATATGTGCTTTTGTGTCTTTAGTTGTTGGTATATTGACAGAAGGATGGCCAAAGGGTGCGCATGATGGACTTGGCATTGTGGCTAGTATCCTACTTGTGGTCTTTGTCACTGCCATTAGTGATTATAAACAGTCTACACAGTTTAAGGATTTAGATAAAGAAAAGAAGAAGATCTCAGTTCAGTGATGTGTGTTTTCTCGCACTTAAAAATGATGTAGTAAAGTGGTTGAAAGTACGAGTATCGTCTCCACAGGGACGGACAAAAGGGAATTAAAGATTAACTAAACTTTAGCGATTAAAAAGAAATAAATAAAATAAAAGTGCAATTGTGCGAGATTGGTGGGTTGAATTAAAAATAAAACTAATGCTAAGAGCGATGAAAATAAAAGATTGGTTTCTTCTCAATTAACGACGAAGGGAACAGGGATTGATTCCGGGGTTAACCAGATTTCTGGCAGATCAGGCCTAATTACATGAATTTAATTTAATTGAGCCTAGCTAATCATTACTAAGTTCTTACCGCTCTCGCGGCGTAGAGTACAATAATTTAGGGGACCAGGCTGATCTCTCATGCGACAGGATCCTAAATTATTGCCAAGACGAGCGAGCTTACGGCCCCTTAATCGCTACTAATCTCTTAGCGAACGATTAAGTGTGTGTGAATGTGTCCTAGAACAAATTAGATCTCTCTTAATTCATTCTACATGCAATTGTAATTCTAGCTGCAGTCTAGGTTACAAGAGATATCAATTAAATTATTCAAACACAAATTAAACGGCATTCATGCAATTACACCGACAAGAATCTAGCCATACATCATGATTAACCCCTTCATCAATCCCAAATCCCTAATTAAACTACTCACAATTCATAATTGAAGAATCAACAGAATTGAGATGAATAGAAATAATTGTCATTAATTAAAAAGATGAACTTACAAATAATCCCAGGGTCTTGGAAGAAAATAGCGTAAAAACGCAAGTAAATTCGTCCCTAGGCCTTTCCGTAATGTTCGTAACCCCCAAAAGTGGGTATGGAGGCCTTATTTATAGAAAACAATGATTTCGGGTCGAATTAGGACAGATCGCGGCCAGGCACGGTGCCAGGCACGACCGTGCCTGCGACCGTGCCTACGGAAGGAGGCCGAATTTCGCGTCCAGGCACGGCGTGCCTAACTGCCAGGCACGACCGTGCCTGGCCTCCAGTAGCTTGGTTCTTCGAAATATGCCAGGCACGGCGTGCCTAGCTGCCAGGCACGACCGTGCCTGGCCTCCAGTAGCTTCCAGGAAATTTTCTCTTCAGGCACGGCGTGCCTGAAGGTAGGCACGACCGTGCCTGCTTCGAATCAACCCTTTTTTTTTTTTTTTTTTTTTTTTTTGGTGGTTTTTTGTGGGTTTTCTGAAAGCGGTAAAACTAAACTAACAAAGCACAAATTAAGCTCGGGTTGCCTCCCGAGAAGCGCTATTTTTAACGTCGTTTGCCCGACGCAACTACACACTCAAAAACTCAGTCAAAGACACTTCCGCTCAGAATATTTGTCTTCCACAAATCAAACCTCTTATCAACAAATGCCCTGAGATGGCGTAAGACCTTAAATTCATGAAAACAATTGCACATCTCAGGGTTTTCTGTACAGCAAAATAATGAGTCTAAGCCTTTATCAGGCCCCTTAGCAAAGAATGGGTCTAAGAATGAATCACTCCCTTTCATGTCAAAAACTTTCCAGGCCGGAGCTTCCTTGGAAAGCATGTTAGGTGTGCAATCCTCCACCATAGAATCAATATCATCCACATAAAAACACTCTCCACTGTCCTGACAGGGCCTCTTCATTATTTTGGACATATCAAAGGTGGCAGTCTCATCCCCAACACGGAGGACAAGCTTACCGTCTCCAACATCAATAAGCGCTCGGGCAGTTGCCAAGAATGGTCTGCCCAAAATTAAAGGTACCTCACGATCCTGATTCATGTCCAAAATAACGAAGTCTACAGGAATAATAAACTTGTCCACTTTAACCAACACATCTTCAATAATACCTTTAGGATATTTGACTGAACGGTCAGCCAACTGAATACACATACGCGTTGGTTTAAGTGGACCGAGTGCAAGCTTCTCATATAAGGAATATGGCATCAAATTAATGCTTGCACCCAAATCAGCTAAGGCCCTATCAAAAGTAAGATCTCCTATTAAACAAGGTATAGTGAAAGAACCTGGATCCTTAAGCTTCTCTGGTAGATCCCTCCTAATCACTGCTGAACAGTCCACGTTAAGCCTTACCGTTGACGCGTCTTCCAACTTCCTTTTGTTAGTGAGTAAATCCTTCATGAACTTGGCGTACTTCGGCATCTGTGCTAGTGCATCTACGAATGGAATGTTGAGCTGGACTTGTTTCATGAGTTTCAGAAAATGACCAAACTGGTCACTATCATTCTTCCTAGTCAATCGCGCCGGATAGGGGAGAGGTGGGGTGTAATTCTTAACCGGAACGGGCTGTTTTGGTGCAGCCGCCACCTCTCTTCCCTCATCTTTCTCCTTCTCTTCCTCTAGGGCAGCCGGTACGTCATTAACTTCAACGGGCTTCTTTGCCATGGCAGCAGGTTCTAATTCTTTTCCACTCCTTAAGGTGACTGCATGAACATGTTCTCTTGGGTTTGGCTCGGTATTTCTAGGGAGGGATCCCAGAGGCCTCTCAGATAAAGCCCTTGAGATCTGTCCCAATTGAGTCTCCATGTTCTGCATCCTTGAGTCAGCCTGCTGCATCCTCAAATCTGTTTGTTGTTGAGATTGCATTTGTTGCTGCTGAATTTGCAGCAACTTCTTGAGTGTTTCCTCTATGCCAGAAAATCTTTGTTCTGTTTCTCTCTTAAAACTCTCTTGCACTGGCTGAGATGCTTGATGTTGATTAAAGTTCCTAGATTGCTGCTGAATTCCTTGCCCGTAATTTCCTTGCTGCTGCTGTCCGTAGGGCTGATTTTGGTAGCCCTGTCGCTGGTAATACATCGCGTCAACTTGCTCTACTCCAGGGGCTGCCAAGTGTGTCATCATAGTGCATTCATGAGGCGAATGGAGGCCCCCACAAATGGTACAAGAGGGACTAATAGGACCGGGGGCTACCATATTAACACTAGGCACCGATAGAGCAAGATTCGTCTTCTTTTGATTATCCTCCACACTAGTAGCAAGCTTCTGAATCATGCTAGTCAAAGCATCTACCCTCGCAGAAAGGGCAGAATTATCACTGATCTCGTACAAGCCCGGGGCCTTCTGGTGAGGTGTGTCCCGAGAGCCATACCATGAAGCATTATTAGAAACTATCTTCTCCACTAATTCTTCCGCCACCTCAGATGGCAACTGAGGAAAAGCTCCTCCACCCGAAGCATCAAGCATCATCTTCCCTTCATCGCTGATTCCGCTGTAGAAACAAGATAGAATCTCACTATCAGTCATCTTGCCTTGAGGGCAAGCTCTTCTTAGCACTTTGAATCTCTTCCATGCCTCAGCCAATGTCTCCAAAGAACCTTGCTTGAAATCCTGCAGCTGCCTCTTCAACTTTATTGCCTTTGATGTCGGAAAATATTCCTTGATGAAGGACTTGTGCAACTGATCCCATGTCTGAATATGGTGATGTGGATTGCTATCCAACCACCTCTGCGCATCGTCCCTCAATGAGAAAGGGAACAAAAGCATCCGTACCTGATCATCATCTAGCCCGGGGATCTTGAAGGTTTGGCACATCCTCAAGAATTTTGTAATGTGTGCCACTGGATCTTCTGTAGGGCTCCCTCCAAACTGATTATTGGACACCATGTTGATCACCGCTGGGTTGATCTCATAGCGAGGTGCAGTAATTCCTTGCACTTGGATGCTGTCATACTCTGTGATGTCCGGAGTGAGGAAATCTGCAATGGTCTCTCCTTGATAAAGCGGGTTGTTATGTGGGACATAGTTTTGGTATGGAGGAGCTTGATATCTCGGCTGATGAACTGGTTGTGGTCTTATAGGATGTGGACGGGCTATGTTTGCCTGTGCTCGGGGCTGAACTTGGGGCTGATTATATTGTTGAAATTGGGGTTGGAAGGGCTGATTTTGTGGCTGAGTAAGGGGTGGATTTTGTGTGACTGGCGGTTGGTTCTGTCTGGGCTGAAAGAGTGGATTATTTTGCCCAATACCTTGCATCCCGTATGTTTGATTTTGAAAAATGGTTTCGGGAGCAGTAGAGGTATTTTGGAAGAGTTGATAAAGTGGTGGAAGATTCAGTTGTGGAGTGGACTGATTTTGGTGGAAGAATGGGGTACGGAGATTTTGATACCCCGGATAAGCTCTAGGTGAATTTTCTGGTGAAGACTGGGGAGAGGTATTGACATAAAAATCCAAATTACCAGAAGTGGTTTGGACCTCAGACGTCCCAGCTATTCCAGATGCGGATGGTTGATCCATGGTTGCTTTCTTCTGTTCTCTAAAGGCCTTGCGGTTCTGCTTAGCTAGCTTCTCGATCTCAGGATTAAGAGGGACTAGTGATTCTCCCTTCTTAGAGCGTGTATGCATAAACAGATCTGACCTGCAAGGTTAGTAGACAAAAATCCTACGAAAAACTAAAAACAAGTCGCTAAAATTAATTAACCCTTAAATCCGACACCGTCCCCGGCAACGGCGCCAAAAACTGATGTGTGTTTTCTCGCACTTAAAAATGATGTAGTAAAGTGGTTGAAAGTACGAGTATCGTCTCCACAGGGACGGACAAAAGGGAATTAAAGATTAACTAAACTTTAGCGATTAAAAAGAAATAAATAAAATAAAAGTGCAATTGTGCGAGATTGGTGGGTTGAATTAAAAATAAAACTAATGCTAAGAGCGATGAAAATAAAAGATTGGTTTCTTCTCAATTAACGACGAAGGGAACAGGGATTGATTCCGGGGTTAACCAGATTTCTGGCAGATCAGGCCTAATTACATGAATTTAATTTAATTGAGCCTAGCTAATCATTACTAAGTTCTTACCGCTCTCGCGGCGTAGAGTACAATAATTTAGGGGACCAGGCTGATCTCTCATGCGACAGGATCCTAAATTATTGCCAAGACGAGCGAGCTTACGGCCCCTTAATCGCTACTAATCTCTTAGCGAACGATTAAGTGTGTGTGAATGTGTCCTAGAACAAATTAGATCTCTCTTAATTCATTCTACATGCAATTGTAATTCTAGCTGCAGTCTAGGTTACAAGAGATATCAATTAAATTATTCAAACACAAATTAAACGGCATTCATGCAATTACACCGACAAGAATCTAGCCATACATCATGATTAACCCCTTCATCAATCCCAAATCCCTAATTAAACTACTCACAATTCATAATTGAAGAATCAACAGAATTGAGATGAATAGAAATAATTGTCATTAATTAAAAAGATGAACTTACAAATAATCCCAGGGTCTTGGAAGAAAATAGCGTAAAAACGCAAGTAAATTCGTCCCTAGGCCTTTCCGTAATGTTCGTAACCCCCAAAAGTGGGTATGGAGGCCTTATTTATAGAAAACAATGATTTCGGGTCGAATTAGGACAGATCGCGGCCAGGCACGGTGCCAGGCACGACCGTGCCTGCGACCGTGCCTACGGAAGGAGGCCGAATTTCGCGTCCAGGCACGGCGTGCCTAACTGCCAGGCACGACCGTGCCTGGCCTCCAGTAGCTTGGTTCTTCGAAATATGCCAGGCACGGCGTGCCTAGCTGCCAGGCACGACCGTGCCTGGCCTCCAGTAGCTTCCAGGAAATTTTCTCTTCAGGCACGGCGTGCCTAACTCCAGGAACGACCGTGCCTGACCCTATTCTTCACTTTTCCTTCGTTTTCTTGCTCAGAATGCCCCCGAATGCCTACGAGGTCGATCCAAATGCTCTTTCTTCACCAGAATTTCGTCGTGAATCTCCCGATGACCTCTAAATCTTCCAACTCTTTCTTGAATGCCTTCAAATCCTTCCCGAATGCCTTTCAAGCGCCGATTGCCGGACTCAAACTTCTTCAAATCAACTCCAAATGCAATGAAACTTGATCCAATGTCTGCTAAACACAACTTGAGCCAAAATTGAGACTTGCAACGCCTTAAAGCCAGAAAAATCATCAAAATCCAACTGGAACACGCACCAAATGCGTGTCTAAATACGGACTTATCATTCAGGTTACTAGAAATGGTCTAAGGCAAAAAATCTCAATTTACGATATACTCCCTAGTGATATTGTTCATCTTGCCGTTGGAGATCAAGTCCCGGCTAATGGACTCTTTGTTTCAGGATTTTCCTTGTTGATAGATGTATCCAGCTTAACAGGAGAGAGTGAGCCAGTTAGTGTGACAGTTGGAAAGTCTTTTCTCCTTTCTGGAACTAAAGTCCGGGATGGATCTTGTAAAATGCTTGTCACTACTGTTGGGATGAGAACTCAATGGGGAATATTGATGGCTACTATCAGTGAAGGAGGGGATGATGAGACCCCATTGCAGGTTAAACTGAATGCAGTAGCGACTATTATTGGCAAGATTGGTCTCTTCTTTGCTGTTATTACTTTTTCTGTTTTGGTGCAAGGTTTTTTTCTCCAGAAATTAAGAGAAGGGTCCCACTGGCGATGGTCGGGAGATGATGCTGTGGAAATGCTGGAGTACTTTGCTATTGTTGTGACAATTGTTGTAGTTGCTGTTCCTGAAGGGCTTCCTTTGGCTGTCACCCTGAGTCTTGCATTTGCTATGAAGAAGATGATGAATGATAAAGCATTTGTCCGCCACTTGGCAGCGTGTGAGACAATGGGATCTGCCACCACTATATGTAGTGACAAGACAGGGACATTAACAACCAATCACATGACTGTTGTAAAAGCTCACGTGTGTGGGAAGATTAAAGATAGTCGTATGGATGTTCCCACATTTGGCTTTGAAATAACAACACTGGGGGTGAAATAGTTAAAAATAAAAACGGGAAAACTGAAATATTGGGAACACCCACTGAAACTGCTCTGTTAGAGTTCGGTGGTTTGCTTGGAGGGGATTTCCAGTCGGTTCGCCGATCAACAGAGATCATAAAAGTTGAACCTTTTAATTCGGAGAAGAAACGAATGGGTGTAGTTATAAAATAAAAAAATGGAGACTTGCGTGCACACTGTAAAGGTGCGTCTAAGTTATTGGCAGGATGTAATAGCACCTTAGGTCCAAATGGTGAGGTTATTTCATTAGACGAATCTTCATTTGACAATCTGAAAGGCACAATTGAGAAATTTGCTTGTGAAGCTCTTCGAACTATTTGCCTAGCTTACAAGGACATAGGAAGTGACTTCTCCACTGATCACCCTATTCCTTTTGAGGATTTAACTTTGATTGGAATTGTGGGTATTAAAGATCCTGTGTGTCCCGGAGTCAAGGAGTCTGTTGCTATTTGTAGGTCAGCTGGGATTACTGTGAGGATGGTTACAAGAGATAATATAAACACTGCCAAAGCAATTGCTAGAGAATGTGGCATCTTGACTGATGATGGAATTGCAATTGAAGGTCCAAGATTCCAAGATATGAGTGAAGATGAATTGATTGCAACCATTCCAAAATTACAGGTGAGGATGACCAGCCAAATATTCTGATCTGTGTAGAACCCGGAGAATGCTCAGGAAAGAAACTAGGTGGAAGGAATGGAGGAACGGAATTCGGCGAAATATACCAATTTGATTCAGAATCAATAAATCAATTTTGTTAATTTTCTCAAGACCATTTCATTCATATGGAGCTTCAATAAGAATTGGTTTTCCTTCATATTTTCCAGTGTAGAACCAAACACTAGAAAAATAGTATTTTCCTCTGCCCCCCCCCCCCCCCCCCCCCCCCAACCATTATCTGCATTCCGCTAATTATTTGACAAAGAGAAACAACATTGATATGTGAAGCCTAATATATCAGATTCTGCCGGTCATGGCTCGTTCGTCACCTATGGATAAGCACACACTAGTGAAACTTTTGCGGACTACATTCCAAGAAGTGGTTGCAGTGACTAGAGATGGTACAAATGATGCTCCTGCCCTTCATGAAGCTAATATTGGACTTGCTATGGGCATTGCAGGACTGAGGTGAAACTTTCATTCTTTGTATTTTGAAATATACGAAGTATTTCATACTAACGAGATAAACCTGGGTTTTGAAAATCTATGCTTTCTTCTTGAGTTTAACTTTTATTGGTACCTAACTAGTAATTCAGTCCAAGTTTCAATATGCAAAGTTAGATTTAGTCATTAAGTTCAAAGCGAATGGCGAAGTAATTGTTTGGCCATGATTTTGAGCACGGGGCCTATATCTCTAGTTGTGGTCTCTCTCTCTCCAATATCTTGATTCTTGAAATTCATGTCTTTCAAGGTTGTGAATGATCATCGGGTTTTTAAACCTCTGTTATGTGTTTTATTGCTGGTATTGTTTACTGACCAAATACAAATATTACAGGTAGCAAAAGAGAGTGCTGATGTCATAATTCTAGATGATAACTTCTCAACAATTGTAACAGTTGCCAAATGGGGACGCTCTGTATATGTGAATATCTAAAAATTTGTCCAGTTTCAGCTGACAGTTAATGTGGTCGCCCTAATTGTCAACTTTACTTCAGCCTGTTTGACAGGTATCACAAATTGGTATTTAAAGGCATTTAATCAATCCAGGTCAGTTATGTACGGTTTGCTGATATTGTTTGTGTGACGTTTTCAGGGATTGCTCCCCTCACTGCTGTTCAGCTTCTTTGGGTCAACATGATCATGGACACACTTGATGCACTTGTTCTGGCTACTGAACCTCCCACAGATGACTTGATGAAGTGCCAACCTGCTGGCAGGAAAGGGAAGTTCATCAGCAGTGTGATGTGGAGGAATATTTTTGGACAATCTTTATATCAGTTCATCATCATATGGCATCTTCAGAGTTCCGGGAAAGCAATCTTTCATCTTAATGGACCTCATTCTGATTTGGTTCTCAACACACTTATATTCAATACATTTGTTTTCTGCCACGTACCTATGATTTTTCAGTCCAACCTCCCAAAATTTGAATCTTGTTAGTATACGTTATGTTGGTCTAGTTCACACCTAAAATAAAACCAAACAACAACCAACGTTGGATACTCAATACCCTTCCTCAGCCTAAGCTTGAGTAGAAATCTCAAAGAGCCAGTATTATAAATGGGCCTAAAGAGGCTGTTTCAAACCATCGAGTGGGCACAAAACCCCATAAGCACATCGGGTCGGATCACACTCTCTTCTGATACTATGTTAAATGGGAATCTATCAACCAAAACCCCAAAAGAATTGCCCACTTATATATATTACACATAAATCAAATAGAAATATGAAGTAGTATTACTCATTGATGGGTGGATTTTGTATGGTCTACTTAGTAGTTTGCAACCCATCAAATATGTCCCACATAATTGTGTGCATTGCAGCATAAGGTTAACCTCTTGATTCTGTAACATTGTACTTCATCTATCCCCTGATATTACAAACATAACTCTTTTTTCGGGGACAGAGGGAGCATGGCATATATATGATAAAACCTGCCATATTTATGACAGGTTTTCAATGAGATCAGCTCAAGCCATATTTATTGGTGTCATTGGCTGCACGGTCTTCTTCCAAATTATAATTGTTAAATTCCTAGGAACCTTTGCAAACACCACTCCTCTTACCCTTCAACAATGGCTTGCAACAATTGTCCTTGGATTCGTAGGCATGCCCATTGCTGCTTTGGTTAATATGATACATATATGATCCATTCTGTGTGAAGATATCTTAACCATGAAAGAGTGGGCATGGCATGTGTCTGACGGTTAACCTAAGAACTTCTGGTTGATCTTTCATGCCCTCAGGATTACAGCTGGAAAATCTTCGTTTGAGAAGGTTGTATAATTGTTTTGCAGTCTTGCAGCATTCTTGTTTTCGTTTATTATATTTGAAGAACAAAATCTTGATGATGTTTGTAATATCTGCAAAACCATTGTTTTTTAGGTCTCTTTCATAGTTTGTCCTTTGTATAACAGAACTCGTTGACCATGTCTTAGTCATGCCTACAGTCCAAACACTTCAAAACATAAAAGGCTGTTTCAGTTAGTATAATGAGAGCAAAATTTTGAGCACATGACGACATAGTTGTTTACGTATCAACTATCAAGTGTCCATCAACATATTTCCAGCAATACTTAGATAACCTTGAATGAGTTTTTACTCCTCCAAGAATAACAAAAAAATGCAACAGTGTTGCTTATCCCAGACTCGGTTCTCGCGGACCCTAATATGGAACCCTGTTTTTATTTATTTATTTATTTATTACTGTAGGGGACGTCAGAGGGAGGGGGCCTGGAGTAAATTGGGCTGAAACTCAGCCCATTGAGTCGGTGACCAGCTAAGTTGGACCGCTTTTATATTCATCGTTTTTATATTCATTGAAATATACGGAGTATAAATCTATTTTCTCATTTTTAATGCATAAATACTGATCACATATTCGTCACTTATCTCAATTTCATAATTAATACTTTAATAGTAACCCATATTCTTGTTGAGATTAATTCTACACAAGACTTAATGTATAAATCTATAAAAGTGCACTCAAGAACAACATGGTTTTATGTGGGAACCTGAAATGGGTGAAAACCAGGTACTTTTCAAGTTAATTCAATTCAACTCTGGATTAATAATCATCTGAATATTCCAGAGGTTAGAAAAGGATGGAGAGAGGACGAGAGGGGATCCCCCAAAAAGGCACCTCCTTGTATCTATATCTCTATGAGAATGGAGGCATTTCTACTCTAATGTGCCTCAAAATGGGCTTACAAATTGGGCTTCAAGAAAAGCTAATACGGAGTAGTATCTAACCCATTACTCCAATAATTTCTATTTTAACCAACATACTCCCTCCGTCCCGCAAATATTCTTTCAACTTTTCCTTTTTGGACCGTCCCACAATATTTTCCTCACCTTTTTGGACAATTTGTGTGGTTCACATTCATTTCACCTTTTATTACACAATCACAACCATACATTTCCACTTTATTCCACTTTCTTAATCTCCGTGTCAAGTCAAACTGGGAAGAATTTTGCGGGACCGGGAGTATATCATATATGCATCATTTGTATGACTAGGGATCGTTTTAAATGAGCTTGAAAAATACCAACTTCCCTTATCACCAACAAATACTGAAAATACAAATACAACAAATTAAAAAAGATTTAATTTGCTCACTTACAAATTACAACAAATGTAAATCAATAAACAATATCCTAAGTAGATGAACAAATCAGAGTACATACAGATACACATTCCGACACCATGTTTAAAGCAAAACAAAATATCCCAAACCACCCTTTAAAACTTAGGGTTGCAAGAGATTACATATAAACACCAAAAAGGGTTTGGCCTTTGGGTAAAGTGATAAGTTCCCAAACAAACGAATTCAAAGATAACCAAATGAAGAATGACTATTAAACTTTGAACAGAAATTTGGACACTCCTTTTTATTAACATCCGAAATTTTGTCACAATCATGTATCATCACTTCTCTTTCTCTTAAGACCGCAATTCTTTGGAAACTCTTTTTTGTCCCTCTCTAGTTCCTTCATTTTCTTATAGCACCAGAAAACATCATCCTGCATTATAATAATAACAGAAATAAAAAATAATAATAAATCATAATAATAAAAGAAGTCATAGAAATAAAGTTATAATAAAGGTACATTAAAAAGAAAGAAAAAATTACAGTAAGATAAGACTCACAATGTTAAGACATCCACCTGAAGGTAAGGCACTCATAATAACCTCCATACCCTCTTTGACTAGTCCACCATCCAATGCCAGTAATGTTGCTGCTGCTGCTAGTACGGATGGCATGTGACTCATTAACTTTGCATCTGAAGACAAAGGAAAAAGTGCCTTAAAATAACTCTAAAATCAAATAACATTATAATATAGGCTAGCTCAAACTACAAAGCCTCATCATTGCCTTGTTCAAACTTTTGATCAGAGAATTATTTTTAAAGTCAACCTTATTTCAATTACAAATTAAGCCTAACATTGTAGGGGAAGCAATTCAATTCTCTAATGAAACAACACCCTATAGACTTATAGTTACTTTATAATTGTCACATTCATCTTTTAGGATGCGACCCTGAATTTCTTAAATCATATATTGTTGATCTAAGAAGAATAACTCGATCCGACAACGAAAACAACGGGCACACGGATTCGGGAAATGCGCGCGATTTACCTCGGATGGCATTGAAGATGATGTCCATAGTTGTTGATAAAATGGAGCTCTTTCTATGCATATGAGAGTGTGGGGTGATAAACTTTGACAAAAAGTAAGGAGTGAAAGAAAAAGGAGTTATGAAGCGCAGTTTCCAGTCCAATGTATTGAGCACCAAAAGCTCCATCCTTTGGATCAAAGTGCTCTCAAAAGTGAAGAGGTTTTCCATGGGTGGGGGGTACTCTGTTAGGGCAGGTACTCTGCTTTCCTCCATTTTTGCTGCTAAGGAAAGGCATGCTATCCCTAATAGCCTTATGGCCCACCACCTTTCTCTCTACACACAT